AGCCTATAATACCAGTACTTTGGGAGGACAAGAGAAGAGGACTGCCTGAGCCCAGGGATTCAAGACCAGTCTAGGCAACTTGGTGAGACCTCATCTCCACAATATATCAAAAAATTAGCCGGGTGTGGTAGCACGCGCCTGTAGTTCCGGCTACCTGGAAGGTTGAGGCAGAAGGATCGCCTGAGCCCAGAGGGTCGACGCTGGGGTGGCTGAGAGTATGTCACTGCACTCCAGCCTGGGCAACAGAGTGAGACTCTGACTCAAAAAAAAAAAAGAATACTTTAATAAAATTCCCTTCTAGTATATAACTGCATGATAACATTCTCAGCAGGATATACAGAACTAGCTGGATGATACTTATTCAACAAATACTTACTGAACACCTACAATGGACACATATTCATACCTTGTCTATATAATACCATCTGGGGCTTTTGACTTTTTCATTTCATGCTCTCCTCAATGCACAAATATATTTGTACACTGGTCCAGTAACTAATAAAGAAGACAGCATGAAAGAGTATGATATTTAAAGTTAGAATCTTGGCCCATCCTTTTACAAGCTATATATGTGCTTTGGAAACATATACATAAGATAAATATTTAACATCTGTTAACTAGCCTCAGTATCCTTGTTAGTAAAATGGAGATAACACACATCTTACCCTGTCATAACAAGGACAGGGTAAGATGCATGTTACTAATAAATAGACACATGTGTAAGGATACTAATAAACAGACACATATGTAAGTATTTAGAATAACAATGTCCAAGAGAACTTCCTATGATGACAGAAATGTTTTAAATTTATGATGACCAATAATACAATAGCTGTTAGCCATACATGGCTACTGAACACCTAGAATGTGGCTGTGACTGAGGAACTAAATTTAATTCATTTCATTTAAGACATAACAGCATTTAGGTCAAGTCCAGGAGACTCTCCTTCAGGAACTAAATTTCAAATTTTATTTAATTTCAATTAATTTAAATTTTTATTTATTGAGTCGGAGTCTCACTCTGCCACCCAGACTGCAGTGCAGTGGCACATTCATGGCTACTACATCCTTGACCTGCTGGGCTCAGCTAATCCTCCTACCTCAGCCTTCCAAGTAGCTGGATCTTCAGGTGTGTAACACCACGCCCATTTAATATTTTTGTTTGTTTTTACTGTAGAGACGAGGTCTTGCCAATTTGCCCAGGCCAGTCTTGAAACCCTGGGCTCAGGTAATCCTCTCACCTAAGCCTCCCAAAGTGCTGGGATTACAGGAGTGAACCACCAGGCCCAGTAAAATTAATTTAAATGTAAACAGCCCCACATGGCTAGTTGACTATCATACTAAACTGTCCAGACCTAGAACAAATCCTAGTACATAACAGATGTTCAATGTTATTTTATTTCTGTTTTCCCTGTCGATACCAGTAATTTTTTATATTTCCCTCCTTCACAACAAAGAATCCCCCATAGGAAGCCAACAGTCATTAAATTGCTTTTTCAACCAAACAGCAAAAGCAGCATAAAAACAATAGTGACTTATTAATCAGTTATATGTGATATACACTATGCTAAGAGCTTTGCATAATTACCTCATTTAATCTTCAAAATAATTTTATGTAGTTGGTACTATCACTTTGTAAGCTTAGAATTTGTATAAAAACATAAAGTTAGCAAGTCTGTTCAAATCCAGGTAGTCGATAATTCAAGACCTATACTCTTTTTTCCCCCTCCTCTAGAAACAGGGTCTTGCTCCACTGCCCAGACTAGAGTGCAGTGGCATAATTATGGCCCACTACAGCCTTGAACTCTTGGACTCAATGATCTTCCTGCCTCAGTCTTCTGAGTAGCTGGGAGACTATACATCTGGCTAATTTTTTAAAAATTTTTATAAATATGGGGGTCTCACTATGTTGCCCAAGCTTAATTCCAGAGACTATGCTATTAACCACAATGCTGAATTGCCTGCATCTTAACGAACCAGCTTATATAAGATTTATTATATATTCAGAGGTAAATAAATGTCCTCTCAACCCAACATCATTCCCACACATACACACAGCAACTGGAAATCAAACAATTTGAGCTACAGACACAAAGTTATGCATAGTAACTAGCTGATCCAAAATAAGTCTCATATACTAATTTAAGTGACTGTGTAAATGTACCAAATTTGGTGATTTTGCACTTATTAGGAAGACTGACAAATCATCATTTCTCTTCCCAGAATATGATGACTAAAATGCAAATTTGTATTTTAAAGATAACTTATTTTGATAGAGGGATAGGGGAGAAGGGATTGGACCTACAGTAGAAATACAAAGCAGATGTAGTCAATATTTACTAAGCCCCATGCAACTGTCTATAAGGGATATTTGTTTGTTAAGACATCAAACATTTCTGCTAAAAGATTAAACTGGATTCACTACAATTGCCTGAAGTACACTGCCACTCTTATCTCAGTTCTAAAAGCAGTTTAATTCACTTAGTGTCTGCAGTATTTATGACAAAGAATTTATTGTGTCCAAAGCTGGAATTCTTATTCCAGTTCTGCCTGATAAATCAGAAGAACATTTTACATAACAAGCCACAGCATGCTCTTTGCTGAATACCACAAAAAATCTGGGTGGCAGGAAAGCTGACCAATTTTCCTCTCTCAAGAGGAGGGAACAAGAAAAGACCATGGACCTTTCACTCAGGTCAAAACGATGTATGTAAATTTGTCTCCTCCCAATCCATCCATCATGTCTCTAGCTTCTGTTCAAACTTCACGATCCCTCAGATTGCACAAGCCCTTGGTCAAAGCTAGCACTGAGAGAGAACTTATTGAGAAAGTCTCAGTCCAGTATTACTAGGCACCAGAAAATAAACTGCTTTAAAGATCTGTAGTAAGTAACTTTAAAAAAAAAATAAAATGTTTATTTGCCTAGATTCTACTTTTAACCAAACCATCATAAACTCAAACCACAATAAAAATGTGAACAATACCAATGTTCTAGAAACATTATTGAAGAACCAAGAAGATGACCTTAAGGCAGCACAATCAAATAATTATGGCACCATTATTTTAGTTTTATCTGACCTGCTAGGTGACGTGGAACTTGTCCCTTCACTACTTTATGCCTTCTATTCTCTATCAGTGATAGAGAATTAACTACTATCTGTCTCAGTGGAATATGAGTAGATTAAATTATTACTAAAAATGCTTTGGGCAAAAGTCATATGAATGTTAAATATTATGATTTACAAGCATGCATTTCCTAGCACTCCTGTGGGGTTGCAAAGTTATCTCAATTTCACAGATGAGTAAACAGGCACGGGGGTAAGGTCACATGGTAAGTCTCTATTTATTAGTCCCTGTGGGAAGGGTACAAAACGCTCCTTTAGAAATCATATGATCTTTCTAGGCACATCCTACATAATCTTTAATGCATTCAATCCTTCACTTGGTGTTGCATCTCTTAACATGCTGTCAATGGAATTGAGACAGCACTAGAATAGCAACAAGACCAGAACAAGCAGGGAGGAATAATGTTGTGTGCGTTGACAAAAAGTCACAGGAAGTAAGTAATCTGAAGATAAAAGTTGCATTATTATTTTCAAGATTCTACAGCCACTATCACATAGGGACCTTGAGTCACAGAAATGAAGAAATATGGTTTGCTATGAAAACACTTTGAAAAACATTGTGACAGTTTCTTACAAAACTAAACATACACTTACTATGTATGATCCAGCAATCACACTCCTTGGTACACAAAGGAGTTAAAAACTTACATCCAAACAATAACCTGCACATATCTGTGTACAGCAACTTTATTCATAATTGCCAAGACTCAGAAGCAACCAAGATGTCCATTAGCAGGTGAACAGATAAACAAACTGTGGTACATCTAGACAACGGGGTACTAGTCAATGCTAAAAAGAAATGAACTATCAAGCCATGAAAAGACATGGAGGAATCTTAAATGCATATTACTAAGTAAATGAAGCCAATCTGAAAAGGCTACATAATGTATGATTCCAACTATATGACATTCTGGAAAAGGCAAACTTATAGAGAAAGTAAAAAGACCAGTAATTGTCAGGGGTTGAGGGGATGGGGCAGATGAATAGGTGAGTACAAAGAATTTTTAAAGCAGTGAAAATACTCTGTATGATACTATTATGATGGATACATTTCATTACCCATTTGTCCAAATTCAGACTGTTCAATACCAAAAGCAAACCCTAATGTAAACTAGGGACTTTAGGTGATTACTGTCAATATAGGCTCACCATTTGTAAATGTACCAGTCTGGAGGAGGATGCTGATAATGGAGAATGCTATACATATATGAGAAGTGAGGTATGTAATAAATCTTTATATTATCCTCTCAATTTGCCCAATTTTGCTGTGAACCTAAAACTGCTCTTAAAAAAAAAAAAAAAAGTCTTTAGAAAAAAAAGGTTTGTCACAGGTCTTTTTTTTGTCTCTGAGTCTCACTCTGTCACCCAGACTGGAGTGCAGCAGCACACTCACAGTTACCGCAGACTCAACCTACTGGGTTCAGGCAATCCTTCTGCCTCAGCCTTCAGAGTAGTTGAAACCACAGGTGCACACCATCACACCCAGCTAATTTTTTGATTTATTGGAGAGACAAGGGCTTACCAAGTTGCCCAGGCTGGTCTTGAACCCCTGAGCTCAGGCAGTCCTTTTGCTTCCACCTCCCAAAGTGCTGGGATTATAGGCATGAGCCACTGTGCCCAGCACCGTCATAAGGCTTCAGATTGGTGTGCCCAACCAATTCTTTGGGAATGTATATTTACCATATGGGCTTTAGTTAGCAACTGTGCAGAAAGAGAAAACAAATCTAAGGACTGAAGAATGAGTAAGTAGCAATAGGAAGGGTTAAGGAAGGCCAAAAAGGGCAAAAATACTACTCATGTATATCTAATAGGAATATCAAAGAAGCACAAAGAATTTTTCTGCTCTTATCTAAGGATGTCTAATATATAGCTTACCCTACTCCGAAGACAGTCTGCCAGGTTTCGGCGAGTGAAATTAGCTGCTGCTGTGGGAGACAATTCATATCCTGGTACAAGAGATAAAGAGTCACACTTCACAGGATGCAGAAGGAATAACAGTGCCCCAAATCATCTCACTACCCTATTCTTAAAGCTCACCACCTTTTGTACACTTAGAGTATATAAAGCACATAGACTGAGGGACATAATCCTACTTCTAGCCCCTTTCCTCATGCAATAGCTGCGACACAGTTGATTAGTACTGACAGCAATTCCTGGCCACAAACAGAATCAGGGTGACTATTTCATGGTGGAATTAAATTCATAGCCTTGCTTAAACCATTCATTAACAAACTGCTGCTTCTTCTGCAGAAGGAAAGGGCTACAAATACACAAGTGGTAAAAAAACAGAAAGAAGTCTCAAGATACCAATTTTTTAAAGTTTATTTTACACAGACATAGGAAAAAGAGGGGGTATAATATGATGTTCAAAAGTAAAAGCCACAGAAAAAGAATGTTTCCGCAAGTTGACAGAATTTTTTTTAAATAGTATCTCAAGAGTAAAACTTTTTTTAAAAAGTTGTAATGTAAGCCGGGCTTGGTGGCTCAGCCTGTAATCCCGTGCCTTTGGGAGGCTGAGGTGAGTGGATTGCCTGAGCCCGTGGGTTTGAGACCTTCCTGG